TTTGAGAATTTTTATGAGTGTTTGTTAATCAAAGTTTTGAACTACATAGATCAATTTTCGTTTAATCAATTGTTTGTGAATTTTCAAATGGCTTTATATTTTGAGAGAGAAAATAAGGAATTAAAAGAAAAGATTTCAGAGCTTGAAAAGAAATATAAACCGGAACAAAAAAAATATGCAAAGATGTTTTATGAGAGTCATGCAAATTTAGATTGGGCTAAAAGTATATCAAAAAATTATAAGATGGTTGTTGAAGAGAAGAAATAAATGAATTCATTCATAAAGGTTTTTCTTCTGATATGCAGGAAAGGAATGTAAAGCAAATCCAAAAGAATGAGGAACTGACAGAGAAATTTCATAAAGCTGAGAATGAATTGACTGCTGAAAGGAAATTACTGAAAAAATAGAAGGATAAGTTGATAGAGGCTGAGAAAAAGTTTGATGCTGAAAGAAAATCATTTGAAAGCAAAGTAAAAGTTTTAGAGTTGTATTCGATCTTGTATTTTCTTCTTTATAATTTTTGTATTGTTTAGTCTTATAAATAAGATTAGTCTTAGAGAGTTTTTAGTAGGATGCTTAATTTTCATAATCAAGATTAGTGTGTGTAAGAAGGGTGCTTTGAAAATTATAAGCAAGTTTGACTATTTGACTTTTCTCTTAACATTCATCTACTTTCTACATTCTTGAATTGCTATTTTTGATGTTCTTGTAGAATGTTGATGATTGATTAAACAATCTGGGATCCACAAATCCCTTGATGACCATTTCATGACGTGTCTATTTTATTGGAACCCACTAGCCACGTGTCAAAATTCAACCGCGTCCGACACAAAAGGTTTCATTCTTCATGTCTAATTTGTGTCGTATAGAAAAACACTTTTACACGTGTAACACTTGTACATTTGGAAAACCACTTGCATTTCATTCTCCATATCCAATCATTCTTCTGTATCTGAGCTCTAAATTCTTTTACGCTCCAAAAAGCAAGTTAGAACTTTGTTCTTCTTCATGAACTCTCAACCTTTCAAACATGCCATAATGACATTCAACACTATTTCTTGACGGACCTGGAGATGTCCCAGAAAAATATGTACAATAGTTTTGGGACACCTGTTACTTAGACCCTGAAACAAAAGTTATTATCAGATTCATTGATGGACCTGCTGATGAAGAAGTAGGTGTTAGCGTGTCTGAAGGCAAAGATTCAAATTGTTCTTTCTATTCTAAACAAAAAAAATCCTGAACATTGCCCAATATGATGACTTTCCAACCTTTGATTAGATAGTTCATAGGCTACATTGGAACGCTCAAGGTACTTATAGTGACTTCAAGAGGAAGTTCCTCCCACCAATGTGGAACTTTCTATTCAGCATCGTCAATAGAAGCCTAACCTGCAAGAATGGTAGTATGGATCATTGAAGCATCAACATCTTGACAATCTTGTATGGTCTGTACTTTGATCGAAATCTGGACTACTCACTCGTTATCTAGAGTGAAATGGTTGAGGCAGTCCAAAAGTGCCAAAACGCTATAATAGCCAGAGGCAAGCCGATTAAATCGATTCTATTTCCATGGTCGTAGACTATGAAAACACCGTTCTTCATCATGAGTTCAAAAAACCCATAGAGCTTCCAGAAGGGTATCCAGAGGCAAGACCAATTTCAAAGCTAATGCTCGCTTACATTCCAGATGACTCACCCTTTCTTTCTCCTTATATTAGCTTTTTCTGATGCTTAAAGTTGAGGATTGGTACCCTAAAGCACATGGAGCCAACAATTTCTAGTGAGGAGTCAGAGATAGAGAGAGATAAAAGAAAATTAAAGTGATTCCAAACGTTATCACCCAGAGCCTGAAGGGGAAAATACAGAGAGCCAGAGACAAGATGACCTTGATGGCACATATGAGCGACAATCGAGTCCACCCGAGAAACCATGATTATTATCTTTGCACCAAAAGGTATTGAAGAAGGGCCTCACCGTAGCTCGATCCCAGACCCACTGGTAGCTTTTCAAAGCCCTCTTAAAGGACTCTGAAGAACAGATATCCAAGGATCCAGACCATATGGAGTCATTCTCTCAAAAGAACGCTTCATCTCCTCAAGGCATTATACATCCTACAGAGGCATGTGTTTCCAATGTTGATACACTCCTTATTGAGCCCAATCAAAGTCGTTGAGAGTGACTCTTTTTTAAATGCACAAGGATTGTCAGTTGTATTATTGACAGGAACACACATCTGTTTCAACTCATCTGACTTTGAGTTAGATGAAATTGAAAATGTGAACAGAACAGCCAAAGTGTCTCCTTCTCTAGAGACACAAGGACCTTCTGATCTCAACATTCAAACAAGATCGAAAGGAGGTGTCTCTAAACTAGACTCACCTGGATACATGTGTTGCATATGGGGTTCCTACTACTTCTAATCTTATCACATGGACAAAGTTCATGTCCTTTGAAAATTCGATTAGGAGTTCCTTGGAGGAACTATAACTCAAATTCAAAAGTTGAGGTCTCTACATCGACCAACTCTGAAATAACTCAACTCAGAGCCTCGATATCCTCCCTAAATGAAGCCTCAAACCAACATTCTAAGATGTTGGATGATCTCAATCTAATTATTCAGAGGACTCTATCTTCAGAAGCTGCTCCAAGCCCTACCATCTCTAAACTGCAATCAAGAGTTGACAACCTCTTTTCCCAAATCACCTCAACCATTTCATCCATTACCAATATTGTAGAGCTCCTTTGGAAAAAAGGCTTCCAAAGCCCTCTGGATTTTCCTCTTCCATCTCTACAATAGATCAACAACTTTAAAGCAAAAATCATCAAGTCAATCAATGACTCCAGAGCGCCCTCTTTCATCATCTAAGTTTGTGCAAAAATCAGACCTTTAGGAATTTAAAAACGCATTGTTGAAGAAATTCACATAGATGTCAGCTAAGTTTGTTTCAAAAACAAATGAACCTATCTTAGAGATAAAGAAGATTTTGGCCACCCACAACTACAACGCCAATATTCAGATTGCTGAAATCACCAAAGCCTCTGATGATGCTCTACATCGCTTGAACACCCGCACTGATACTCCCACTCCTTTGAATATGGTCATCTTGACCAATCCTTTACCAATAAACTACAAGATCAAGAGCTCAGTCGATAACACATCAAAGGTAGTTTAAAAGATTGCCAAGCTCCAAAAGCATTAAAAAACAGCAATTTCTTGTGCTCCGAAGCTGAACAAATGCAGGAGTATTATGATGCAGACCATGATGGAGATGGTGTTGCTCATCAAAATGGGGAGACAAAGGCCCCCATGGAAAAGCCATCAAGAACCAAAGGTACCTCTGAGCCAAACCCTGTAGAGCAACAATGTATAAATCCGAAGACAAAGGCCCCCATGAAGAACCTGAACCTCAAGTTGTAAATATCTCTTCTACATCTGTCGTTGATGAATCTCAAGTTGAACTTCAAGCTGTTGTTGACTGTTGTTACTTCTATCTCTACTCCTTCCATGGTTCCCATCCTAACTCAACAAATCCTTCACACTTCCTCTGATAAAGTGAGATGGGTGGGACCAATAGTTTACAACACTAAAGTTCTTGGTACGATTCTACCTCTTCAGCAAAGTATCCTATAGACTGCTTCCAGAGACCAAGCTTCTTCATTAACTGGTCAAGCCACCTCTATGGACATTCTAGAGCCATCCTCCTTTGTTCCTCCTATTCCTCACTTTGATCAACCTTCTAAGGAAAAAGTAAGAGACATTTATGATTAACTTGAATCTCTGAGAGGACTACCTATCGGTGCTTCCAGAGCCACCTCATCTCAGCCTCAACATGAACCAGTTGTGATAAAAGATACCCATAGATACCTTTACTAAAAAGGAGATGAGGAGCTTGATATTAACCCCTTACACTTTGCATCCAGATGTAATGGAAGGCGTCAAATAGAGATTCGCCATTAGTTCAACAGAGGACTAAGTATGGTCTGGTCTGGTCTGGTCGGTCGGACGACGGAATAAAGAGAGTTTACGAGATCAAGGTTAGAACATTCTCTCACGGAAACGGGAACCAATGTCGTAACCATTAGAACTCGGTTTTTTGGTTAACTAGTTTATATTTGGGGGGTTCTATTAGACTTTTTGTAGTACTAGACCTAGATCACATCAAAAATCTTCCACATCTTAGATTTGATATCACATATGATATGATTATTTTTGTATTTTCAAAAACAATGATGTTGTCGTTGAACTCACCCCTCTTTGAAGAGTAATTTTTGTATTTTGTTTATGATAAATGATTAAAACAGGCATGGCAGTTTGCCGGTTTATGTAATCCACATTCTCTCTTTTAAAAAAAGTGGTAAGTTTGAGAACAAGTTAGAGAATAAATACATCAAAATGTGATAAATTTCATCTTAGTTCTTATTGATTTTGATTTTTTTTTCAATTATATATGTAAACAAAAGTTCAATGGTTGTTTATTTCAAACATATTCCATCTAATTAACGTTCTTTCAACCTATATGTCATCATTTGGTTATAATTTGTCATTTTTAATGTAATCAAGAATTACAATATATGATGTCCAATCCAAGCCATCAATAGTTACAAATTATACAAGTCATCAATGAAAATAGATAAGATATAAGAACTAAATGTTTGTTACAAGTAATTGTAAAGAAAAATTATTCATCACTACGTCAAATAAAAAACCAAGTCCAATTTGTTGCATTTTGGAACTTAAGAGGATATTGATAACTAGCTTTCCAAAGGTATTGTATTTGCCTTTCATCTCTCTAGTTTTTCCTTTTTAAGTTTCTCACTCTCACCTACAAAAACATAAAAGGTCGAATATCTATACATTTTACCATCCCAAATATCACCCATGGTCAGGTCTGTGTATTTCTAATAAGGGCCTTTTACCAAATGCTTACGGGGTAACTGCTCACCGACAAGAATCACCACCCTTATGCTATCAGGTAACACGTCCTTGACATGCTCATCTTGTAAACACTTATTTGGTAAACGCTCCCTAACTCACCGTTATTGTGAAGAGTTCTCACAAGTCATCAATATGTTTTGATTTCATGTACAAGAACCTTGGTTATTCTATTAGCTTTTTATATATTTTTTTGACTTATATATCACAATACTTGCTCTTGATAAAAAGAGAGATCCTACCATTCCAAGCAATGTTATGGCATAATTAAGATGGAATGAACGCTCAAAGCTTTGCTGGTTATGTTTACATCCAATCATTGATCTTGATAAGCAAGCCTGATTTGAGCTTCTGTCAGTGTCCTCCAAACCATCTTACCACAGTAAGCTAAGGTCAATAATGCCACAACATACAGCAGCGGGATCCCCACAACACAGCCACCAGAAGCCAGATTCACGAGACTCTGCCAACGCATGAAAATAACTTGGAATCAGTAACACAACAATAAAAAAAACATGCAATTCCACCACCCAACCATTCAGATCAGCCTATTTAAGGTTATTCTTTTTTTTTATTAACCTGGATATCCAACCCGCTATGCGAGCCGACTAATCTCAGGGCGACCACCTGCTTTACGGGTCAACTCAACCGGCAAATAAAGACTAGGGTAGGCCATGAGGCTCCTCCGCATGGTTACCCAAAAAGAATGGTTATTCAAGTCACTAGACAGTTTCTTTCTCTAGTATCAAAGAACTTCGTTCTCTAATTCTCGCAAACCCCGAGAAGCGCTGGTGCACAAGGTTGTCTTTTTTGCAAGGGTTGTCTTTTTTGCAATTGAATTATTTGGGTATTCTGCATTTTGGTTACTCAACTGTTATTTCCTTAAAATAACATGATACAAGTAAATTTTTGATGATTTCTTTATCGAAATGAGGACATTCTTAAATTTTTTATTTAAGTTTAGTGGTGAAAAGAGACTTAGGTAGGAATGTATGGAAGGATGTCACTTGTGTCCTAGAACCCTAGGGTTTCACCTCTTTATGTTTTCTAAGTTTTTTGGGTAACATTGCGTGTCCCGGCCAGTTTCCACCAATCTCATAGGGCCCTATATACACCAGCTAGAAAATCCCCCGGTAGTCTTGACACCTGATAAGACTCAAACTAGCAACCTATGGGGAGGAGTCCCAAGTTCTAGCCTTTATTTGCAAGTTGACTCTCAAAAATTTTATTTTTTCTGTGACCCTAAGGAACCAAAGGAATTTCTTATCCCTCACCCAATCTGCACCACACATACGTGCACCCACCCAGCCACCCCATATCATAAATCTTTAGAACATCCAAGTCCTGTCCCAAGTAGTTTGAGAAAAAATGGATTTTTGTTGTGATGAAAGCTCATGAACACAGGAAATGGAGATGGGTTCGATTTTCCTAGAAATCCAACAGATGCAAGAAAAAGAGGATGGCAGGAACAAATAAACAGGACGATTTACCAACGTTCCAGCAATTAAATGAATGACGGGAACAATCAGTTGGTCACTTTTATTCCCTTTGGCATATCCATTGAAAGCAATGACCATTGAGAAAGTGTGGATTGTGACGAATGCGAGGGAAATAACTGCTGCATATTACAAGAAACACCATCAAAACCCACACAAAGAAAGACAAATGTAAATATTGGTGTTCGAATACAATATAAAAATTGATTAGAAGAGAAGAGAAAGAGCAGACACAAATCCACATGCACCAATCCCCCCCATCCAAAAAAAAACACACACACCCCCTTTTCGTGAACATCTCATGATGCTACCATTCAAGTGGTGCACCTCAGCTTTGTCACAAATAGAGGAGTCTCTGGACCAAAATCAATAATGTGAACAATAACAACGAGAAACATGAAATTTTGCCATAAAAGAAAATATGGCAATAATCTAGGAACACCCATGGAAACTGCAGCAAGTTTCATGGGACAGAGAGCGTACGTTTTAGATAGGTTATACAATTAAGCATTGCAAGATTGCTTATGGTGCAGAAGTAATCTCCAGTTTTGCTGCATTGTATGTGTATCCAGAATTCGAAACACTTACCAGAAATAAGGAAAAATGGAGCATAAGAGCACTTGTCAACGTAAAATGTTGCAGGACCAAATGAAGGAGATAAGAGGCTGAGGCAGAAAAAGACTGCATGAGCCACACCATGACCTAGACCACCAGCTGTACACAATTTAACAGGTACTTACTATATCAGTTTAAAAGTTCCTCAAGGTACTACCATAAAACTAAAAAAAATGCAAACTCATTATCCAACTTCCAATCACAAGACGATACTAAATCACTGACCCCCAAATTTTAACTGAAAAATGTATCCACCAACTCAATCATACTTTATGTTAGATTTTTTTTTCTGATCTAAATTTAACATTGTGGAGATGCACAAAAGTTTAGTTGGAGAAACATTTCACTTCTCATTGACATTGGACTACTAATACTACTTAAATTTTATGATTGAGCAATTTTGTTTGGATGATGCTTCAAGTTGGTTAGAGTTTAGTTAGTTTTTCATAAAATAAATTAAATGGAATAAACAATAAACAATGGTTTTTATAAGATTTGAATCCAAGTTTGTAGGAAAAAGAGATACTTAAAGCTGCTGACTGAAATATCATCTAATTTATCCTACCAACATTGCACACACTCCCTCTCCTTCCCTCCCTCTGCCCCTTGGGCCCACCACGTTGAATAGATTTTGCAGTGTCTGAAGCCCTAGACATCAGAAAACATATAGAACACAAATCACTGTTGAAATTCCAAGACTAGCAAGATCTCCACTAAAACTATGCTTCAGACATCACTATCTAAAAAAAAGCTTTGTATATGAAGCAGATCATGTAGTCTCCTCTATCTGAAGCTGATGCTACATTCTAAGCACTTCCATATAAAAGTCAGCCCAATCTAGTCTTTTTTATATTTATGACATTTTCATTTTCTTAGAGTAGTGTGTAGGCTAGTTATGTGGATTGTGAACTCACAAATTGCCCTTCTTTCTGCCTTAGGTGGGTCTAGAGTTTTTTTGTGTGGGGGAGGGAGGGGAAAGTTTTCCAAAATTATGGAGAGAGAGAGGAGGGGGGAAGGATTTGAATTATATTTATTATGGTAGGTCGCTAATGTCGAGGATAATTAGTTAGGACTTTGTATATAATGTGATAACAACCCACTTGGATTAACAAAATCCAGATGCTACGCAACAATACCCATTTCTTTCATGAAATATCGACCACGAAACCAACACACACTTGCTTTGTATCTTCAAAAGGATTTTTATTTACTTATTTTGGAATCATAGCCAAGTTTGGGCACATGGACCTAAAACTAGAAAATCATTGCAGTAAAATAGAATTGAATATTGTTGTAAAAATAAAATTAAATAAAAAGTTGCTTGAGGATGATTTAGGAGGTACCCCATCAGTCCCGAAATAATTATTCTCTTTTGATTTTATGATTTAAATGGGTTATTTTTCTACTTAAAATTTGTAACAAATGCATCAGGATATACAAGTATAATGGATAGAGAAAATATTAGTGTTAAAATGTTAGTAACTCGCCATCATATATTTACCTTGAGTACTAGCTTTGACACTCGAATTCACAAAATGGCACCTACTTTTATGAAACCTTTTACCAAGAATTCACCTTGCTAGACAAGGCTTGGAAGTAGATTGCTTAGAAGAGAAATGAAGCTATGGTGCATTGTTCGAGTGAGTTAATTTCTCATGGCATTAGGTTCTATTGAAGGCATTAGTAGATCTTGGGTATTTTTTAGCAGGTTTAGATACTGCTTTATATCGTCCCGATTCCCGAATACAGATCTTCGTACTTATTTCAGTGACACTCTATTCAATCATGTTGGTTAATTTGTGATAAATCTCACATATGGATCTTTCGTCTCATTTGTTGTGTTTTATTTGATACACACAATCGTCAATCTTTGAAATATTCTTGCAATAACTTCAATGTTGAATGAAACTTGATAATTGAGAACCTTTTTCAGTGGTTCATTTACATTGTGATAACCTACATTTTTTATCTCCTGAATTGATAAGGTCTTAATGCATTGTGAATATTCAGGGAGTCGTGGTTGGTCTTATATTCATCCAAGTACACATAGAACCCGTTTGTTGGATTAGTTTGGAGAATAGTAATACCCAATTAACCATCTGTAGGGGTATCTACAGGCACGTCATTGTGGCACCGGTGACGTAGTACCATCCATGGCGATGTGATCGGTCCACAACGTCTCCTTTTGAATTGTGCTTTGATGAGGGTTGGCCATTGTGTGACGGGTGATTTTGGATATACTTGGATTCATGAATCCTATATACTATGATTTTTGTTTGAATCCTATGTTATGATTTTACTCCATAGGAAGTTCGGTATGTATAAACGAACGCCTCGTTGTTTCAGCCATGGATTCTTTTGATTACGTTAGAGATTGGCAGTAATGATGTACAAGTAAGCTTTGAAATGTCATAGGCCATCTGAATTGAAATTGATATTCTCATTATATTTTGTTTTGCTCATTTTGTAATCCCAATCCATACCGGGCAATGTAAGTGAACCACTTATCAGAACAAGGTTCATGTAAGTCAACAAGTCTACGATTTTATGCTATGTTTTGAACTTATGTTTGATGTTTAACTCTTACCTTTTGGGAAACAATATCATACTTTTGGAAAAAGACATGTCAGTTTGAATTATTTAAAGATGTATTAGAGCTCTGTTATCTCCGTTTTATAAGTTCGTTTCCACCATAGAATTTGGGAATTGCAGTTATGTATCACAGCTAACCTTTGATTCTATAGATTGCCATTAGACCTAATCTGTGAGTGATTGGTAGATTGGAGAGAGTATATATCATAGTGGTGTAGCAAAAGCGTGGCAGACGAATTGTTTTAGTTATTCCATTCGGCTCTCTAGTTGTTATAAGGATTAATGATCTATGATTTTGCTTATCACATAGGTTGATACATCTTATGGACAAAATTGTTATAGGTGGTAGGTGATAGGCTATGTAAGTCTCTACAGATGTTCAAAGATAAAATATGTAGATCTCCTAGATTTCTAGGAAAAGATGAAAACTATGAATTGGTTTGCTTGGGTTAGTAGCCTACTAGCCTTGAACCCTTAGGATTAATGTTCGTATTGGAATAATACTTTTTAGTTGCAATTATCGATCTATGACCTTGTACATATTCAATTATTTAAGGTTTCATCATGAATGACCTTTAAAAAACATTTGTTTTGTTGATCTAGAAGGATGTAAGTTGAATATAAATGAAATATATTGTAACATTAAAATTGAGAAATTTGTGATCTCGAAAGAAGAGAGAGAAATACGAATGGTAATTTGATGAGTGCTTGATTGTGATATATGTTACTTGGAGCTAAATAATGACCATAAGAGGCAGATTGATTGAATAAAGTTTAGTGTGTGTGAGTAGCATGGTCAAAAGGGACATGTCATCTAGAAAAAAATGTTATGGAGCTTTAGGGGACCATTTTTGTTGTCAAAAGGGGGCATAGACTAAAGATCACTCGATGCAATGTGATACTAATAGTGGCAACGAAAAAGATAAACAGCGCAGTACAAGTGGCAAAGTGTTTGTACTAATGTAGCGAGCAATCCGACAGAAAATGCAAGCCACTTATTATGTTGTATTAGGAACGATCGAATTCCAGGGACATAATTTCTTTAAGGGTGTGTATTACAATATATGCAATTTGTAATAAATAAATTTAATTATTATTAAGTGGGGAAAATCTAAAAAGTTAAAAGGACTAACTTGAAATTATGAGGAAGTTTAAGATAATTATAACTTTGGATGCCTTCTGATGAACGTATTGATAGAGAAATCAGAAGATTACACTCTCTAAAAAAAAGGCTCACAGTGGCTTCTCGCTTTTGAGAGGCCAGCTCTCCCAAAGGTTCTCACCTCAATTGATTACAAATCCGAATACCTTTTCGTCTAACCCCCTCCCCTATTTATACTACCACTTTTATTAACTTATTAACCAAAATTACAGACTTGTTGGCCCCCAAGGTATAACAGTACCCGCCCCCAAACATTCACCTTGTCCTCAAGGTGGGAAGAAAAAAAGGAACCGATACACTATTGCGGTTGAAAAGCAGCGACTCGTAGCTTTCATTCCACGGAACTATCAACCTCATCCTTGCACCAGCCCATGAACTTCATGTGTTTAGCCAGCCAGCTACCTTTTTCTTCTAATGCTAGATCCCGAAAGAAGAAGAAAATGAACTGTTTAGGGCCCATAACATAGTCTTTCCAATTGGGTTCAAGAAAAGGTAAGCCCTTCCAAACCAGCTTCAAGCCACGCTGTAAAAAACTTGTATCCTTCTTCCCAAGAAACCATCCACCATTATTTTTGCGCCTACCCCTCAGATTGGTTGTGGCCAACAAGCCCCCTTTTTCCTTTCAAAACAGGGACGGCAAAGTCACTGTTCCTTTGAGAGACTCAACCAGGGATTCAAAAGTAGAGTCTATGGTGTCTTCATGTACCGTATAGGAGTTCTCATCCTATCTCCACAGTTTATGAACAAGATCCAGCTTTGATTCTCTAGCCTACCTTTATCCAGATTTCCTTTCCTTCCTTCAACCACACTGTCATTAACAAGAATTTGCAGTCCAGTTGTTGGTACAGAGACTCCCCCTCCTGAATGAGACATCATACTCACAAATCATTAGATGTACTATCGTACATAACCATGTCTATATAGAGATCCTCACAGCTAATGCCGCTAGTGGATTGCTTCGTATTCCTTATAGAGAATTTAGGTCGATCATCACCACTGACTTGCTCAAAAAAACTTGTCTGGCCTTTAAAGGACGCATCTAGAAATTTAGTCGTGCTTTTATTCTCCTAATTATTTCAAGGTCAGAATAAGCAGCGGTTGGCCTACTGATTCTTGATTATTGACTTTGCTTTATAAACACCACCACCACACCTTCCTTCTCTCATCTTCAATGATTGACCGACATCGTGGGTGATTTCCATGATCTCCAAGATAGAGGGTTTATAGAATTGTGACTGTGGCAAGTTTGTTAGCTCCTTGGTTTTTGCAAATCTATTAATCTGTCTCCCTGCATTGTACGGCTTCTCTTGCAAGTTATCTAGCCTTTCTTTGACAGTGATTGTGGTATTCATAACTAGAATAACTTTCAGTGCCAATTCCCTTGTTTACTAGCCCCGGCAACAGACATCAATATCACAAGACTGATTCCTCAGACAAACCTACTTCCAAATACTTCTTTTGAAATTCTGCTTAACGGTGATGTCAGGGATATAAATTTCCTCTCAATTGGTCCTTCATTCTTCACAATAACCCTAAAATTAAGATCCCCGTAGCCAAGCCATTTATATCCCAAAGAGAAGGAATCTCGATAATTCCTTTAGAAATCAATATAGATTTCCTTTCACCTTCTTTCATCTGGTCTTGCCAATTGAGTAAAATTTTTGATTGTACATACATGGACCAAACAAGGCGTGTGAGCACGATCACTTGGCAAAATTGTGAATCTTTGTTTTGTCTTCTATCAATCAACAAATCGAGAAACCGGGGTGTGAAGCGCGATTTGAGTTCAGAAAATAACAGACCACTAGGTATTTTGAACCCGCTGGGCAATGTTGCCTCGGGGCCGACGAACGGGCCAGATGTGGATTGGATCGGACTTGATCTTGTCTTTCATAGGCTGGAAATAGAAACGCAAAGTAATCAGACGGATTTCTCATGGTTTCCCCAGCCAACTTTGGGATTGATTTCAGAATTGAAGAATCATATATATATATATATAAACTCTTGAATCTTTATCGTGAACACTTGATTTTCAATTCGTTGAATTATATGTTTGAATCTTTCAATTTGTTAAATTGATTGTCATATTTTGAAGTAGTTTCGAGTTTTATGATGTACTTTGAAGGTTGATTTTTTTATGAACGTCATTCGGGTAGTGGCACATGTTTAGTTTTATTGGTTTTCAGAACAACCCAATTAATGGGCACATTATTTGGGATGCCTTCTATGGCGGCTTTGTAGTCATGGCGTCCTGCAGGTGAACTCGGTCCACAAGGTTAGGCCCAATAGTGGCTTACGTGAACCCACCTTGTGGACTAGGCCCATTTTATTGATCTGGATCTGATTTGTCGGCCATTGAAATGTTCGCCAATTCCTCACCACCATTGTCGAACAAAAAATTAGAATATTTATCTAGTGTCAGTCCTATCTGTAATTTCTTATCATCCTCGCCTTCATCTCCATAAAACTTATCTTCATCCAGCACTGCCTCGTCGATAGAATTAGCGTGGTTAGGGTTTTGTTGCCTCGATTCCTTAAGTGTCTGCATATTTCTTTTGAAAGAATCCAACTTGGACTCCACTGAATCTAACTTCTGGACCATATTTTTGACATTTGCAAGTAGGCTCTTGGTGACTCCCAGGATCGATTGCTCTGATACCAATTGATGAACATTCATCATATTGTTAGAGAAATCAGAAGATCACATTCTTTAATAGAAGACTTACAATGGCTTCTTTGGCTTTCGAGAGGCCAGGTCTCTCCTAATGGTTCTCACCCCAATTGATTAAAAAACTGAATACCTCCCCGTCTAACCCCCCCCCCCTCCCTATTTATACTACCACTTCTATTGACTCATTGACCAAAATTATAGACTTGTTGACCCCCAGGGTAACACCTTCAATGTTGGTTCATAGAGATTTAGGACTCTATTTCATATTTATTATGGATTTCACCTCATAACTATAAATGGTTGAAAGTTTAGATCAAAACCCTTAAATTAGTTATGGAAATTTTGAGGTTTTCAAGTCAGAAACCATATTTGAGTTTGAAGTTTCAGCCATGATTTTGAGGTAAGATTTAACCCTAATCTATGTAGTAAACTCGTATTACTTGTTAGGGTTGAGTTATAGATCGACTGGTCAACATTTATTATGTGTTTAAGGCTCGAAAGCTTAGTGGTGGTTTCGACCCACAAGTTATTCTATGTATTAATTTGTATTAGTTGTAGGGTTGAGTTATGGATCGACTGGTCAACATTTATAACGTGTTTAAGGGCTCGAAAGCTTAATGGTGGTTTCAACCCACTGGTTAAGGACCTCACTAGGGGTTGTTTTTTAATAGATAACACCAATAGGATCTCGTATAAAATAAGCATATGAATTCTTTCTGTAAGAAAATAAGAAAATTGGGTTGCTTTTGGATAGTATTGAAAACGGGGCTGGATTGTAAGTAGATAGAGAAGATGATTTGTTTATGTCACGTGCAACTTTGACTCACCAGGTTTCAAGAATTGCAGCTTGACCCCTGTATATTAAAATATGTTAAATTTAATTCCAGAAAATGAAAAGTTTTCTGTTTTGACAGCTTTGGTCCCTGCTTCAGAAATTACTTTACAAAACATTTATACTAACAGAATCTGGAACAAGAAACCTGATAGAATCTCGTACAAAACAACTCAAAATCAGTATGATACTTGACCTGTTCTCCAAACAACCCAAAATCAACTCCATTTTCATATTTTTATGCATAAGCAGTATGATAATTTTATACGAGATTCCATCAGTTTTATCTACAATCAAACCAAAACAACCTCTACTGAAATCCTTGAACATTAACTACCATTAAAGGTTTCGACATTGAAGCTTTCGAGCCCTACACGCAGATTAAAAGTTGACCAGTCGATCCACAACTCAACCCTAACAAGTGATACAAGATTAATACACAGAACTGTTAAATTGTACATCAAAATTGTGGATGAAACTTCAAACCCTAACCCTAACTCAAATTTGATTTTAGAATAAAAAACCTCACAATTTCTATACCTAATCCAACGCTTTTGATGTAAACCTTCAACCATTTATAGTTATGAGGTAAAATCCAAGATAAATATGAAATATAGTTCTAATTCTCTATGCAACCGAAACTAACGTTGAAGACATTCGAAGTTATTATTATTATCATTATTGATATTCTGGAACTCCATTATAATTTCATGTTATGTCCTTTTAACTTATTAGATTTCCCCCTTCCCCACGTAAAAATAGTTAGATTCATTTGCTTAATATATAAATTACACATCTTACAATCCACCCCTTTTAAAGAAATTTCATCCCCAAAACTCAATCGAGCCTTTTGTACAACATAACAAGCTGCTTAAAATATTTGTGTAGCAATAGCATTTCTTGGCGGATTGCTCGGTAGTGCAAACACCCTACCACTTGAATTATGCTATTTATCTTCTCCCTCGGCACTATTAGTATCAAGCTGCATTGTACAATCGTTAGCCTTATGCCCCCTATATTAAGAACGGGTCATTATGTACTTATACGGTTATACCTATAGTTAAAGTTGGATTATGGAGTTCCATTTCATGTTGAAAGATTCGAATAATGCTTTTTATTCTTACAAACGTAAAAGGTGTCATGAACTCGTTACGTTCGAATGGAAGTATTAAAGGAGAAATTTCGAAAGAGAGAGACGGGAAAAGTGAGTAAAAAGTTTTATTTGTCATTTCATGTCTACCTGTGCCTATGTTAGTGTCGTCATATGTGTAATTAACAAATTTTGAGTTTTGAAAACTTAACTTCAATTAGGTTTTCAAAACATATATATAGACTCACTAAAGTGGTGAGCTGCTTTGCAAAGGTGAGCAGGCCTGTACACACCACACGACCTTCCACATAGAGTGTACCTTAAACACCAATAAACATGATCATTTCAGTATACCTGTCCTAATGGTGACATTAAGATATAAGTAATCTGCTGGTGGGAAATGCATCAAGAAGTTGAAACTCACTACAATTCATGTGATCATTTGAGTATGTATTAGAAAGTAAAAGCCAGCAACAATGGCAACCCAACATAAATGTCAGCATGAAAGTTAAGTACAAGCACAGGTAAAAAAAAGAGTAATGATTACCAAGGGCGATTTGCATCTTATCAGTAAGATATAGGCGTGGTTTAGCAACTCTGTCGGCAAATGCATCCAATATACCTTCCAGCTTCCTGATAAACACATAAGTATATGTATAATAGTATTTTATGAATCAACTTTTTTCTGAAATTCCTGAACAGCTCGCCAGGCTGTCTCTTGCCTGCCCATGGATTCAGCAGCAGAGAATTGGGAGTTCCTATCGTAATGCATGACAAAGTATGGTAATTTCATCAGATTGCTGATACTTTTCTGAGAATTACGTCGACCACAGATAAACTATAAAAACATAGTCTTCAAAGCAGCCCAACGAGCTCAAAAAGCCACTATATCCTTCACCTGATTCAGGAGACTACACAGGATTGGTATTCGAGTATAGAGTGTTACGATGGTGGCAACCAACTTAAACATGTCCATACTAGAGAGTTGCATGGATTGTGTGAATGAACCACATTTACAACTCTTTCTCTTTGTTCGGCAAACTTCCCATCTTTCGTATTTCTATCACCCATCTTCAACTTGGTCTGTTTTCTTGTCTCTCCGTTTACTTGGTCTTGTGATAGGAAATAAAACTAAGAACTCGATTGTAAGGAAATAAGAACAAGAGAAATAACTGCTAGTTGCTATTCATACGATTGAAGGAACAAAATCATAAGGATAACCACCGTATGGTAAACCCTTTTGCCCAAGCTACTGATAGCCGAATTCACTAAAACAGAAAGTAAAATCTCTCCCGCCCACTGCTCCACCAACAAGAGAAAATATATCCCCCCCCCCACAACTTTTTCACTCTTCAGTCCTAACAACTTGCTCCCATTTCCCCCTACACGTGTCCCCCTCTAAACCTCCTTCTAGAATAAACTTTCCGAGCTTTAGGCCCATTTGGTTGTTGATCCAATAAGTGAACCCTAGCACTTTCCCTATCAATACCGGCCTCATGAAGTGCAGGCTTGGCCTCAAGCCTGAATTCAGGAAATTGACTTAATGACTTTGAATGGAATAGACATCCTCCCAAGTAGCATCTTCAATAGTTCCCTGCTGCCATTGGATCAACCATTGTGATACTCGCTCCCCGTTTTTTGTAAATTTCCTCAAGTATCTAAACATTTTTCAGGGAGTGGAGAGACTACAGAATCTGTCTGAAGCCAGGACGTAGGAAGCTTCAACCGGACTGTTTCCCACAGCTCTTTTAAGGAGTGATACATGGAAAACGGGATGGATTTTAGCAGATTCGGGATACTGGAGTTTGTAGGCAACTTCCCCAACTCTAGCAACGATGGGGAATGGCCCATAAAATCGAGCAGATAATTTCTGATTAATCCAACGTACCACAGATTGTTGACGATGAGGACGCAGTTTGAGAAACACCCAATGCCCTACCATAAGCTCAACAGCCCGATGATGCTTGTCAACTGTAGCTTTCATGTGTGTTTGGGCGCAAACCAAATGATACTTAAGTTGTTTAATTACTTTGTCTCCATCCAGGAGATCGCGCAAGACAGCTTCACAACGCACTTCCCAAGATACAAACTGAAACATAAATGGAGGGGGTCTGCCATAAATAACTTCGAAAGGAGTAGTATTGGTGGATGCATGGCAGGACGTATTATGCTAAAATTCTGCCCACGGTAGCCAAAATGACCATGTTTTGGGTTTGGTCCGTAGCAAAGCATCTAAGGTAGGTTTCCAAACTCCGGTTAATCATCTCTGTCTGTCCATCAGTCTCAGGATGGTATTCTGAGCTAAATTTAAGGTGCTAGCTTGCAAAGAGAAAATTTCTTGCCAAAATTTGCTTAGAAATAATGGATCACGGTCGCTCAAAACAGATTTTGGTATCCCATGCAATTTGATAATTTCATGAAGAAAGATTTCAACTACAGTGCGAGCCGAGAATGAGCATTTTAAAGGAATAAAATGACAATATTTTGAGGGCCTATCGACCACAACCATCACTGCTTCGAAGCCCTTGGATTTTAGTAGACTAGGGATGAAGTCAAGGGAGATGTCCTCCCAAACAGATGAGGAAATAAGCAGAGAATGGAGGAGACCTCCTGAAGCAAGAGTAGAAGATTTGTACCTTTGACAGACATCACATGCCTAAACATATTGTTTGATTGCTTTCGTCATTCCCAACCAATAGATACGGGATGCAAGACGATGATAGGTTCTATAGAACCCCAAAGGACCACCACTTGGGCTGTTATGAAATTCAACCAGGAGCTTTGGAATCCACTGGGAATTTGCGGGAATGACTAGTCGACCCTTGTGATACAACTTGCCCTCCACAAGAGAAAACCCGACACGAGCTTGAGTATCTTTGGACAGTGCCTGGAAGATTTTTTGAAGTTGTGGGTCAGACTCAATTCCTTCCGACAATTTAGTACCATCCAACCACTGTGGATACGAAACCATAGTGCATAGTGCTGCCCCTTCGGATATACATGATAGGCATCAGCAGCCTTATTCTCTCGCCCAGGCTTATAGCATATTGAAAATTGATAACCCATGAGCTTGTCTATCCAATTTTGATCTATAGTGGTAATGCGTTGCTCCAACAGATGTTTGAGGCTTTTCTGATCGGTGTAAATAATGAAATTTCGCCCCAAAAGATAAGGTCACCAATGTTGAATGGCAAGGACGAGTGCCATCATCTCTTTCTCATAAGCTGACTTGATGAGACTCGCATCCGATAGGGCCTTACTAAAATAAGCAATTGGTTTCCGGGATTGCGTAAGGACAGCCCCAACCCCGTAGCCAGAAGCGTCACATTCTTTCGAATGGTTGAGAGAAGTTTGGTAGGGCAAAAACAGGAGCTGCGACCATTGTTTGCTTCATTTTATCAAGGGCATTTTGTGCCGAAGGTCCCCAATGAAATCCCACTTTCTTGGTCAAATCGGTTAGAGGACGTGCTATTTGCCATAACCATTGATAGACTTCCGATAATATCCTGTGAGCCCAAGGAAAACCCTTACAGCCTTAACCGTTTTAGGAGTTGGCCAGTTCAGTACTGAATCGATTTTAGAAGGGTCCATAGAAACTCCCCTCCCATCAATAATGTGACCGAGGTAGTCTATTGACTGTTGGCCAAAGCTATTTTTTATATTCACGACCAGCTGACGAGTTTGTAAGACCTGCAATAACTCAATCAAAAGTTCCAGATGCAGCTCCCAAGTGTGGCTGTAAATAAGTATGTCGTCGAAGAATACCAACACTCTCTTATGTAATAAAGGCCGGAAAATTCATTCATCAGGGCCTGGAAAGTAAAAGTAACAGGGACGTTGGTCAGGCCAAAGGGCATTGACCAAGAACTCATAATGTCTGTTATGGGTGCGAAAGGCTATTTTTTTCTGTGTCAGATTCTCGAACCCGGACCTTTTTTTTTAAGTATATAATATTTATATACAAAAAATAGAACAAATAAACTCACACACCCTCCTCACCTTTGGTGAGGTTTGAACCCTTGACCTCCTAGGAGGCCAAAGACTCACATACCGCTAGGCCAAAAGCCCTTTGGTCTCGAACCCGGACTTGATAGAAACCCGATTTCAAATCTATCTTAGAAAAATATTGGGAACCATGGATCTCATCAAGCAATTCTTCTACGACAGGAATGGGTATTTGTCGGGAATAGTAACTCGATTTATAGCTCTATAATCAATGCATAAACCCAAGATCAGTCTTTCTTTTTTACAAGAATTACGAAAATGAAGTAAGCACTTTGACTTACTCGTAAGATTCCAGTGGTCAACATCTCTTGCATTTGTCTTTGAATTTCGTCCTTATGAGGACGGGGATAACGATAAGGCAGACACAAACAGGTCATGCACTTCTTGTAAATTAATTGTGTTCAATAGGCCTAGCAAGAGGTAGGCCTTGTGGTTCTAGGAATAAAGTGGAGAACTGAGACAAAACATCAGAGAGTTGAGCTTGCTGAAATGGAGTTAGAATCGAAGAAAACTCTGTTTCAGTTGACAATTGTACCCATTGGCCATCAAGCCACGGTTGTAACGAGGAGTGATAGAGAGAGGCCGACAATACCCCTTGTAATAGCACTAGTGTTCCCCGACTCCAAAAGCGAATTTGTTGGGTTGTCAGTTGAAAATTACGTCTCCCAAGGTACCCAACCATGCTATACCTAATATCATATCCAATGGTCCTAGTTCATCGACTAGGGCATCAACCATACAAGAGAACGAACCAAGTTGAATGGTGATGTTCCGGCAGTGTTATGAGATACAACTAGAGTATTGTCACCAAGACAAATGCTCGACCCTTTCATTGGTTTTATTTCCAATCCTAAGGCCATTGCTAACTTTTTTGAGAGGAAGTTGTGAGTGGCCCCACTATCTACGAGAAACAGAGCAGGAACTCCACTTATTTCTCCTGCTAATTTGATTGTTGTCAAGACAAAGAAGAATCTGAAGAAAGCCCATAGAATTCAAATGCATGGCACTCACCATATTCAGTATGGTCATCCTCCAAAATTGCTTCCACTCGACATATCTCGCCATTGTCATCCAATTCACTCCGTCAGCCAGTAGCAACACACAAAGTGTTCCCTTCGAGCATTTGTGTTGCGGGTAGTACTCTTGCCTGCAACTAAAACACAAACCCTTCTTTCGACGATCTTCCCATTCATGTTTCATAGACAGTCCCTGTACTAGTACTATGAGCAGAGGAAATAGGTTTCGAAGTGTCAAAAGGATGTACCTGAGATTGACCAGGTGGGAAAAGAGGGTTTGTTAGGCTGTGAGAACTGATAGTAAAATTGGGTAGGCTATCTGTTGGACTATTCTTCCATGAATGGGCTTGGCTTTGTCCATCCATACTATTACCAAAAGACGAATTAGTGTTGCCTTTGCATCCCGACTTCCCTCCATAGACGCCAGTAGCAACCTCATCATGACGTGTAAAATCCATGGCTTGGTCGCATGTAAGAGGATTTAATGTACGTACCCAATTTCGAATGCCGTTCTATAACCCACTCAAAAACATTCCAATAGACTGTTCTTCGATTTGATCAAGAATTAGGGCCAAAAGAGCTTCGAATTCTTCAATATACTCGTCGACACTTGCTTCTTGATAAAGGGATCTCAGGGCTTCGTGAGCATTACGAAACTTTGTAACACTGACTCGACTCATCAGTTTGCTTCGTAATTGATCCCAATTGGTTTGTGGGTGTTTGATTAGAAGATTTGTATACCAATGGAGGACAGGACCATCCATACACATTTGGGCCAATTTTAACTTTTCAAAGGAAGGAGATTGATGTACCTGAAACTCAGCCTTTGTAATCCAACCTCTTGGGTCAACTCCTTCAAACATAGGTAATTTCACTTTTGGCATAGAAAAAAGAGACTCGTCAAAGTGATTGGCTCTGATGAAATGATGAAGGCCACGGGTTTCAATTTTGACACCGAAAGAGTCATCATTGATCTCTCATTCACAATCCCTGGATGGTGAAGCCCCAAAATCTATTTTTGGTTGCTTTTCTTGGTGCTTCAAATAACCTAGCATCTACTCAAAGGATTTGGGGAGTTGACCCAGAATTTCCTTCATGGAATGGACTGCTTGTGAGAGATTGTGCATCTGTAAGGTTTGTTTCTCGATTTTCTCATCTTGATAATCGACTCGAGATTGCAATCCAGTACTTACCTGGGTTTCTGGAGCGACCACGTTTCCCGCAATGGAACCAAATTGATAAGAATCAAAACTAAGAATTCAATTGTAAGGAAATAAGAACAAGGGAAATAACTGCTAGTTGCTATTCATACGATTGAAGGAACAAAATCAAAAGGACAACCACCCTATGGTAAACCCTTTTGCCCAAGCTACTAATAGCCGAATTCACTAAAACAGAAAGTAAAATCTCTCCAGCACATTGCTCCACCAGCAAGAGAAAATATAGTATTCCCCCACTTTCTCACTCTTGAATCCTAACAACTTGCTCCCATTTTCCCCCTACACATGTCGCCCTCTAAACCTCCTCCTAAAATAAACTTTCCAAGCTTTAGGCCCACTTGGGTGTTGATTCAATAAGTGATCCATAGCACTTTCCCTATCATCTTGCTATCTGCATCCTCTAACATTTGGTATCTTACTCTTTGGTTTCATTGATGCCTTCATTCTTCCATACTCATAGTTCACTGTTAGGTATCAAACTAGCATGAAAAACTAATACCTTCCAGGTTTGGCTAGAAAAAGAACACTCCTAGAAAAATGGTAAGATCACATACTCCTTTCAAACCTTCTAGATGAGGCATTCTTTTGACGTTAGAGGACTTGACGTCAAATATATGAGAATGATAGATTTTATTTATTGATTAATATTATCTATAGGGTGTCCGAAAAACATGCTACAAGCGTAACCTGTGGAAGCATAAAATCTACTATTCTTGATTAGTTGACTGTAAGTTGATGGATCTACTAGTTATCCTTGATACTAGTATATAACCGTCGCAACAAGTTATATTCAATAGGTAGGCTAAAGTTGTTGGTTGTATATCCATGAAGGGACATCAACTCTATAATACAACCATATGTTCATGCTAAAAAATTTATTCAATGTTAAACTCCCAGAAAAGAAGCCCAACGTCTGATTTTAGAAATTCAACCCATTGTTTTTCAAATTCAAAATTAAAACAAATATTTGGAGATTCAAAAACTAGAACCAACATTCACAAGTCCAATAATAGATCAATATGTGTATATATAGGCGAAGGATCGTGTGAGAAAGGAATTTATGGTGAGAAGCGTAAGAAGAAATCTAAACCCTTGATCACTTTTAATCTCATGCCCACGAGGGCTGTAAACGAACCGAACGTTCAGCGAACCATTCGTGAACCGTTCGGCGGGATGTTCGTTTATGTTCGTTTATTTAATAAATGAACGGACATGAACAAATTTTTCTGTTCGTTTAGTTAAACGAACGAACATGAACAAGAGTCCCGTTCGTTCATTTATGTTCATGAACGTTCGTTCATTTACCGTTCGTTTACGTTCGTTTATATTCGTTCGTTTATGTTCGTTTATATATTAAATTTAATATATAATCTTTTGTTTATTTATTTTGAATTTAAATAATATTTATTTATGTTCGTTTATGTTCATTTAACCCGTTCGTTTATGTTCGTTTAGCATGTTAATGAACGAACATAAATGAACACGAACACACCTTATTTCTAAATGAACGAACACGAACACAAAGATTTTCGTTCGTTTACCGTTCGTGTTCGTTCGTTTACCGTTCGTGTTCGTTCGTTTACCGTTCGTGTTCGTTCGTTTGTTCGGTTAAGTTAAACGAACGAACGAACATGAACAAGCTTCCGTTCGTGTTCGTTCGGTTCGTTTACAGCCCATGAATTGCCTTTAGAATGGAATTGATCCGGTGCATCTCGGTGCACCTCATTAGTGTTGACATTCAATTAGGATTGATCCAAGGGTGGAGATCTCTTCTTACACTTCTCACAATAACTTCCCTTCTCGCCAGAACCCAACCCTATATCTATATATCTATCTATCTATCTATATATGTATATATATCCAAGTAGTACTTCATCATGATGATGTATAATACCAGATAAACCACCATAAGGATGTGTTCTTATCGATAGACCATGAAACTAAGAGAAAATACATACTTGTAACCTCTCCACAATACAAGGCGAAGACCTTCTTGAAAAGCGATTGAAGTCAATATAAGGATTGAATAAGGCCACCATGCTGTTGTTTTAAACGGAAGAAACACCCTCCAAACTCCAGATAGCACAATCAAACTAATCAGCCACACTAGTGTACTACACAAACATAAATGTACAGAAGCATACATCAGTATTTATCTGACTAAGCAAAAAAGAAGCCAAACACTCTGTAACAGTAGAAGATCCAATCCTACATTCCAAATTAACCAAACACCACCTTAAACAACATTTTATTAGCAAGTAGTACTTATCCCACATCTTGTAAATATCAATTGATTCTTCAACATATGTGCTTCCAGGCGACTGCAAACTGACTTTAAATTAGCACCCCACGTGTTTAACAAAGGTATCTTACCCATGAAGCATGTACATCTCAAAAGCCGGACGACACAAGGGGCTTACTAGCAAGATATCAGTGAAGTTTATGACCCTTAATTACTGGCTCCTAATTGGGTTCCTCTTGGAGCACAAGATTTAAATAAATTCATTGGAATTGACATAGAAAGATATCAGTGAAGATTTATACAAATTCCTTATACAAACATATATAAGCCAAATTGACGATAGCTTGACCTTTTCTATAACAGAAGAATCATTGGATTCTTCAAATATGAACAAAAAGGAAACTGATAACGTCATGCAGGAGAAAATTAATATAAAAAACAAAACCTACCTAGAAAGAAGTGTGAGGATCAAGAAGGGTTTAGTGGAGATGATGGTAACGAAGAGGGCGAGGGAAGTCCCGAGCGCTAGCAGCACATACCCGATCCCTGCCGCCAATGTCATTGCTCTCTTTCCGATTTTCTCTACAAAAATATAACTGGGTTTTGGGGTTTGATTGAGGCTGATCGATCGGGTCCCCTGAATTGGGAAATTTTATTCGGAGAATTTGATGATTGAACTTTTGCCCCTTATAGTTCAGTGTATTTACAGAAATGGTCCCTGACAACTTGTAGTATCCATACAGTGCCTTGAATCAACAATGGTAGGTTTATGACTTCCTGAACGTGTATAGTTCGACATTTCAAAAGAAAAAGATATTTGGTTTTATCATAACATAAGGAAAGACGAAAGACAAAAAAGTCCATTAAAATTTGTCAAATCCGTATAATTTTTTGTAAGACAAGGTTTTTCATAGAAACAATTTTTTTACTTTTGGATAGAGGAAATGATTAGTTTATGTGGGATGTACCGAATTCAATGGACTTGGTTTATAAAAATTGCTCAAACGCATGAGAAAATATTTTAGGTTTACATTATTTTGGAAAACTTTTCGGAAAGAAACCTTAAACCTGATCCAATGAGATCTAAAACAAACCATAGAGTGCTTTAGAGGATTTCTTTTAGATCTGATGTAAATTCTGACGAAGTGCTTAGAAATCAAACCGAATTTCCTCTATCGGAGATCCATACACGAACACGTTCTGGCCTCTACTGGATGCTAGCTCAAAACATTAATTTAGTATATGTTTATAGAAAAGAAAGAAAATATTTCTTTTCTATTTTTATCTGATAGCTAATAAATCTAAAAAGATTGATTAACCTTTTAAACTTATGTTCATCACCTTATTTATATGTAATTTCATGAATTATAGATTGACTATAATTCAAATAAGGTTTGTATTTATTTATAAATATAATTATCATGAACCTAATATAAATATATATGTATATAATATATATATATATATATATATATCTACACATATGATACCCGTAATTACCATAATTGGAATGTAATTTGTCTAAATAATTTGAATCTGTTTATTTGGTTCGTTGATTATAATAGTGGTGGTAGGGTGGAGGCGATAGTCATATCTATGGTAGTGGTGGCGGCGTTGGTGGTAGTAGTGGCAACAATTGGGTTGACGGTGATGGTGGCGGATGAAGGCAACAGTGGTGGTGGGGAGGAAGGGCACGATGATGGCGGCAATGTTAACAGCAGTCACAAATCATGACCACCGTTCAGTATCACTATAACTTGATTTACCAAAAAAAGGTTAGGGTTCTATCTTTCCTCTACATTCATAACATTGTTTACTAACACAAAAGAAATTAATCTTTGAGTGCTTTTTTGCCATGGCAACAAGAGTAGTTGAAGTTCATGAGCAAAACAATAAACATAAAGTGCACTTCTAGTTTCATTTAAATTTAGTGTTTTGAGCCCATTTCACCTTGCATATTACTAGCCCCGTCATAACTTTGCCCACACAATTTAACGCCACTTAATCCGTGTCTTGAAAGCAAAGCATCAAGTGTCGTCTTAAGTGAAAGAGATGTAGTCTTGGGGACATGATCAATGCCTAAGAAACACTTTAATATGTGTCCGCTCCTGTCCACATAACGCACAAGAACTCTCATTTGTTCATTGGTTGAAAGTCATGAGATGCATCGATGAAGATCGCAAAAAGAAATCATCAACAAAATCACCTAAATGAGTTTCATTATTTCCATCATAGCAACAAAGTCCTTTTGGATGTTTAGTGAACTTGAGATTCTTAGGAACATTTTTCAACGTAAATGCTTTGACGTTTTCATTATGATCAGCAAACTACAACAACTCCAGAAATTTCCCTCTATTGTTAGATTCTTCCCATTCATCATGGTCGGAATGCAAGACCTTGTCTCAGGAGAAAACGAATACAATCTATCAATGCAATCAAGCGTAACTTATATAATCCATCTTAGTTTCGGCTGAATGCTTGATGATAACAGATTCAATGTGTTGTTTTTGTTCAATAAAGCTACACTTGCCCTAACTTTGGTTGTGAGCACTATTAACATCTCCAGTATGAATCGTCAACTTATCTTTCCTTGGACAATTTTTGAATCCTAAGCTAAAAAACAGTTGCCGCCTATTCGATCTCCAATACTTTGTTTGAAAAGATAGCAATGTAAGAAATGTACAACCTTTTTTATTTACATCGTAGTCTAGCCAAGTAGGGAATTCATCAAACCAAGCAGGGTCAAATCTTCTTGAACGTAACCCAAATGAAGTGTAAGGAAAATCATGGCTTTGAGGTTGGGAAGGCCTCTTAAAATATATGCTCTATAAACTCCATCTCGAATATTAGGATTGTAATCCAAAATTCCAATATGTAAGCCTAGGTCAATGGGAAGATTACATACAACTTTATTTGCAATTTATCATAATTATTCTTATCTGACATAGATGATGAATGATGAATTGTATTTCTCTTTATTAAATACTTATCCATGACTTTAAATGTTAAATTGGTTAATGTATTAAAAACTAAACTCAAACATTTAGCAAATAACAATTAACAATATATAAACGGGCAGCCGTAATATTGAATCTATTAAATCATTAAACCATTAAAGTACAAGAAATTAGGATTATTAATATTAATGTTTTCTTAATCAATCTAGAAAACCCTTTAGTACCCACAAATTGAGAAAAGTCTAGCATACCCACTACGGTTATTAATATACTAAAACTTAGTTAACTCATAAAACATAAAAACAAAAAAAATCAAAGGGCTTTCAAACATATCTCTATTTGGTGACAAAGGATAAGTCGGTGGAAAGACAATATTGGCAGTGGCTCAATGTTTTCAATAGGATGCAAACATTTGGGTTTTAGTTTAGGATCTAAATGCCATTTTTCAGGTTCTAATTTATTTTGTTCTTGAAAATAACTAGTTCAACAAAAACTTTAATTGATAAACTAGGTGCTAAAAAAAATCAATTGAGGGTGGAGGTTCGAACAAATGTAGTGATCTGCTTTATGAACCACAAACTACAAAAGTTATTGAAGCACTAAATCAAGAAACTTCACTTGCTAGAGCATTTCACACATGATGGGGATCACATAATGGTACTTTGGCCATTATGATGATCAAATTGAGACTTACAACAACTGTTGATATGCAGACTTCGATTGGGTTTTCTAACTTAAAAGGAATCAGTAATCTTGTATAAAAAATGGTTGAAACAAGAAAGGATAAGGTGTTCTCTCTCGTGTATTTGTGTATAAAACTAGCAATGATGATACCTATTGCGACTCCAACATTTGAGAGGGCATTTTCATCTATAAACATTGTGAAGAATAGATTGCACAATAGAATGGGTGATAAATGGATGAACGATTGCTTGATTTATGTTGATCATCTTTCTCACTGATTTGATGATGATACCTTTTACCTTACAAAATATAGTTTTTTGTTATTCAGTTTCAACGATCTCCATTGAGTTTGTTCAGTGATCACTGAACATGTATTGTAACTCCTTCAGAGACTGTTATACTTCAAGAAGATAAAACTCATATCAAAGATCCTTCAACAATGTCGAAGACATAAACTGAAGATTAGATATGAGCACGTTCATGATCTGAAGCGGCATTCAGTGATTACAAGTCGTCTAATTATGTGTGAAGTCCCCACAAGTTTCAGCGAATGCTGAAGAGACCCTTCAGCGTCATCCCAACATTCAACGATCAAATGAAGCTTGCCTTGCACGATTGTTTTTGTCTTGTCCTCCTTCACACAAAGGATAAACCCAAACCTATTATAGAGTATAGTACAGTACGAAGCCACTCCGTTGACTCTATAGTACTTACCTACTTAATGAAAAGATGACTGCTCATATACATCCAAAAGAACTATTTACTGTAGCAAATGACAAACTTTCCTTCAAAAGCTTGACACGTGCTTTGTACCTTCTGAATTGCATTTATTGCAATGGGTATAAATAGCTGAGTGCTCTCTACTCGGTTATCATTTTTCTTCATCTCTAGGAAACTTACCCAATAAGATACTTCCCTCTCTCTTCTCTCATCTTAAGAGAAAAAACCACTTAGAACAAGTGAAGAACATTTATATTTCTTATCTTTATTTCTGATAGCAAATCTTTTCGCTTTGCTATTTGTAATTGTATGAACCTTAGATTGTTTAGATAGGTTCTTTATCTTATCTCTTCCGCAAACAATCTGTATAATTTGTATTGATCTTTATTTATCAATATATAATTTTTTAAAAGTGAAAGTTTATGTGTTTGTATTCATCCCTCCTTCTACAAATTGATTACGTATAACTCTTGTTGATCCGAATGGGACCAACAATTTCTTATAATGAAAAAGATGTTTTTTTTTTTGTTGAGGTAGATAATGAATACATCATAGATACGTTTTGAGAAATGAAACTCATTGACGTCACTTTTGAAACTCTATAGCTTGGTGTTTCAAGAATATAATACCATTGTTTTCTTTATTTAAAAAAAAATGATATTTACTTGTTTTAAATTTATCTTATTTATAATTGATACTCGGAAAATCACAAAAATAACCAATTTATTCCCAATGTATTAGCAATATCACCACTTTTCAATCTTTTTTTTTTTTTTTTAACAAAATGACCATTATGATCGCCTCGGGAGGGGGGGGGGGAATTTGACCAAAACGTATCTGATTTGGGAGACAAAAATCAGATATTTATCTGAAAAAGGGGGGATCGCTCCCAACTACCTGAGGATTGCCCCCGGGGGTGATTTGACCAAAGTTTGACTACTATTTTGTCCTATAGTGAGGACATTTTATGACACACCTATTTGACAATTAAGAAGTGTTTTTCTATAAACGGGGGACAGTTTTGACTGGTATTTTGTCTGTTTTCGGACTGAATGTAGTATATATATAAATGTTATGGTTCTTCTCTATAAAATCAAACACTTCTACTCTCACAACCGTTAGCCCTTAAACACAATCTACCATCACAACCCTTAACACAAATATGAAATCACGTCAAGAATTGTAAAGCTTGACCCAACTATTTGACTTTTTATAATAATAAAAATAGAAAGAAAAATGAATTGATGTGAAAAGCTGGACCACTTTATCCCTCTCTCT